ATATCAGAAATACGGCAGCAATGTTTTTCAAGGTAATCTGTCTAATTAACATTGCGCAAATACCTGTTGCTTCGTAATTATTTAAAACTCCGGTAACTATGGAATTATACAGACTGACAATAAGATAGACAAGGATAAACGGTAAATTCAACAATATTTGTTGACGAAATGTCAACCTGTTTTCCTAACCTCGAATATTCGTGTTTATAAAGAAACCAAACATTTGAATGGTTAACTACAAACAAGCTAGTGCCTGTGTAATCTCCTTATTATCCACTCTTATCAAGCAGCTTCTCGTATTCAGTTAATTAACTCCTGCTCCATTTGTATCTCCTTGTGCTGTGTGTATCGTACAAACGTGGTAGGAATGTAGCCCCGAACATCGAATGTCGTCCACTATCTTCCTGGAGCCACTCTCCTCGCCCTTTGTTGGCGTGAGTTCTTTCAGCTTCTGCCATGATACTGTAGCATTTCCCCTGAACTAGTCGCATATCAGCAAAATCGTGAAAGGAAATTCAAAGTAAGTCACAGTTTGACAAATTATTGCTATTATTGACAAGGGCTATCCACCTGTAACTATCTGTTAATGACAAAAACATAATTGCCGCTGTGCCTTTTCATCAAAAAACTGTAGAAGATAACTTTTTTGACATCAAAAATTTTCTAATTTGAAGCAAGGATATTAATTTTTCTTTTTGAATGCTTAAGTATGCCAATATGCTACCAATTAAAGAAGGAACAATTTCAAAATAATGCTTAATAACAAAGTTGAGATTCGATCTTCAACTGTTAATATTCTAAATTCTAAAAATTTTCAGTATTTGTCTCGTACTCCCCAAGGGAGCTTCTATCACCCTTTATAAGGAATGACGCCAATTTTGAATCACCCTGTATATAAACGTCGAACTGTACACACAGGGTGGTTTTTTTGTGCGGGAGAGTCCATTATTTCCGTTGTTGTGAAACTTTCCAAAATTAGTTTCATATAAAAGTTGTTGACGCACAAATTGCGCACATTTTAAAAATATCCGAATCAATCGAAACAACCCAAACCAAAACGAACCCAAATAAATCCAACCTGGTATAATACAATTTACAATACAATTAATACAATCGTTTATTGAATTATCGGTTGAGGATTGAAATGGACAATTGACGAATGGAATACCAATTTCTAAACAAAGACAAATTGATTATTAAGACCAAAATATTGTTCACAACTAAATATGATTACATATTTTTGAAAACCAACAAAATTAAAAAATGTGATAAATTACCTTTTTTTGCAATTGCAGTCACTACGACTCAAGGCTGATTCACACTATCCCCAACGGAACGGCAACGATTCGACAAAACATTCTTATTAGATAGTAGGGAGTTTTTCGGCCCCTTAATTGCAACACGTTTTACTTTATTCTGAGCATGCGCATTGGTGAAGAAATAACCATTTACGTTATTAGAGGATAACGTGTTCCTTTGATTTGAATCCTTTGATTTGTACGACTAGAGGTAACGTTAATAAGCATCACGTTAAAAAGCAGAAGGACGATGTTGACATATTTGTAATATTATTAATACAATAAGCGGCAATAATAGAATAAGAAATGTATTGTAAATTTAAATAAAACTTTTTCCTTGGTCATTTTTACGCCATTATTGCGTAATTACGGATTTTATGTGAAAATTGTTTGGGTAAATTTGAACTTTGGCAATACTACTAAAATCACACGGACAGGTTCTAACTTCTAACCCATAACCTAACTATTCGATTTTTAATTTTTATTTTCCGTTCTCCGTTTCGTTAACCAATAGTGAATTTTGTTTCAAAAATAGTCTGGAAAACGTTTTGAAATTGAAATTTATGTAGTACTTGAAGGCGGGTTATAAAACAACTTTCTCGAGTTAAACGTGTTTGGTGTTGGTTGCACTTAAAACCCGTTTGTAAACCTGATTACTTTTTCGTATTTACTTACCTGGCAGTTAGTATCTGGATCCCCAAAGAATCCCTTATACCTCTGGGTCTTGCAGCTGAAAGTGGTTTTAGGAATGGAAGATAACGCGGGATAATCCACTCCTGCTTTACCGGGAGTTCCACCTTCTGGACTATCCACAACATCGCCTCCCAAATCCACACCAGCCTCATTATCGTACTCATATTCGTCCTGGACTACTACTGGTTTCTGCTGCTTCTAAATTAGAAGTCCAGTCGAATGGCAGTGCAAATGAAACCCCATATTCTCCTCTTACCTGTCTTTCCTTAAGAGCGTTGAGGATTTTCACCAAGGTCTTAATGCTGTTGTCAATGTTATCCGCAGTTAAAGTTTGAGGTAAAGCGTTGCTGTCTTGGAGTTTCTTCAAAACTTCTGCCAGAGAATTTCCTTTGGAACTTTCCAGCTTTGGGGCAGTTGGCGTTGCTGCGTACTCTTGTTCATACGGTTTAGGGTTTTGAATGGTTGGATGTGGTTTTTCAGGAACCCTTTGATGCTGGTAGGCTGGCTCAGGTTCCGATGTCGTAGGCGTGGGACTGATTGACTGATAATGGTAATAACCTTCTGGGTTATTGAACTGCACTGTAGATTCCGGAAATTTCGGTTGCAGCTGGTTGGGTTTTTGAGCTGGAACTTTATCCTCGTAGTTGGGAGCATCCAGGTGTTGGTATTCCTGGTGGTAGCCTTCGGTGGATCCTGGAGTCACTTGATATTGAGTCTCATAGGGATTTTCGTAAACTGGAGCTGGAGCTTCTTGTGGGACGAAAATTGGTCTCTGCTGTTGGTAGTTTTGATTCTTTGAAAACACCACTGGAGAGAACTGGAAGTGTTTGTTTTAATTGCAACTTTGTTTGGTCAGGTTTTTAAGTTTTTACATTTTCTGCAACGTAGCTTTCATCCACTATTGCCGCTGGCTTCGGCTTTCTTAGCAGGTAAATAGGCTGTTTGGGGCTTGGTTTATTCTGCTGGACGAGGATGTATGTTCTTGGTCGTTCCGTGGGGTGATTTGCAGGTTTCCTTACTGAAGCAAAATTGTCATAACATTCTCAAATGTGTCGATTTTTCATTAAAAATAAAAAAAACCATTATACATATACATCTTTATTTGCCATTAGTTGATAATATTTAACTACTTACCCTCCTGCGGATTATAATGGACTGGACTGCTCCCCTGTGGCACTTCCAGTAAAACCTGATGATGAATGTACGGTTTAATGTTTTCTCGAAATTGGTTCCGCACCGGCACTTCTTTGCTTGGCGTCGGTGCTTGATGGTACCTATGAAGTTAATAATTTTTCCATTACACGAATTTTCAATTACTCGCAAACTCGTACCGTGGTGGTTCCTGATAGTCGTACTTTGCTTCCTCGTTTGCATCTGGTATATCGATGTTTGTGGCAGTGAAAGTTTCGATTGTAGTTTTAGATGGCTGGATTTTGTATCTGGGTACTTCGTAATTGGGCCGATGCTCTTGGATTTTTGGTGGCCTCTCTCTAAATCGATGCGGTGACACCAATCTGTATCCATAGGGCGCCCTCAGGTGCATCGCTTGCTGCCTGAAACAGATGCTTGATAATTTTTACTTTATTTTTATCAGTTCGTTACCTTAATTTCAGTTGAGCTAGTTTTTCGTATATGGCACTTAAATCAGACGATGGCTGGCTATGGGCGTTAACATCTTTATTTGAGTCTTCTGCTGTGGGAGGATTTTCCAACACAATGAATTGTGGCTTAGGATTGTTAATATTCACCATAGGCCTGAAAGGAGATTTTAAAAATGTTGTCTGATTGAATAGGATTTACAGCAATTAATTTGGTTTCAAGATTTTGGTCCTTCGAGTCGGATGTAGGTATTCCTAAGTGTAACAATTTTGTAAAATAGCCTTGAGCACATCAGCAAACAAAACATTAGGGCCAAATATAGGGACGGATGCAAAAAATGTTTTTCTCAGATGATCTAAAGACGCACTATTTACGTCGGTTTAACTTGATGGCTTTTATACCTAAATGAACCTGGTAGAGCATTGTTTTCTCGAAACGGATTGAATTTTTGGCCAGTTTGGTACACAGCATTCGATGGACGAAAATCAATTGGTTGAAGCTCTGGTTTCTTGATTGGTCTCCGTATTCCTTCATAATCTTTGTACTGTTGAGCAGAAACGCCAGCCTGATGGGGTCTGTAAATACCAATGAAAAAATCATGCTCTAAGAGTAAAAATTCGTTGCAAGATATTTGTTTTAATGAAGAAATCCTCAGGAATTATTAACTATAGATAAAACAAGCTTAATTCGGGTTTAAAAGGGGTTTTTCAAATATAAGTGAAAATAGATGTCTCAGCTGCGTCGCATGTTTGGTATAAATAAAAATAAAACTGCACAAAAGCTCATCTAATTTTTCTGAACTGGGTCATTAACCAGGTTTCCAGTTTTCCAAAGATAAATATTTCCAGCTGTAATATGGGCAATTTGCTTTCTGGTTATTCGATGTTCTTTTTTAATGAATTGGGATATTTTCCATGAATTTATCTAATTGTTGCTTGCTACAAGTTGCCTAAATACTTTGCAAGAACCAAATAACGTACGATTAGGCACATAGATGATGCAAATTATGTAATACTTGCGAAACTCAAATAGTTTCAAACAACTGAAAAATAGACCAGCAAAGTTGGATTAGGTAAAAGTTGTAAGAACTTTGCTAATTATCAACGTGTTTGCCGGTGGAAAGGAAGTAGGTACATAATAATATCTTGTCGAAGTACAGAGTTAATACCAAAAGTTTATTCGAAAATATCAGCAAGTTTGCAGCAGCGAAAAGAATCAAATCAGTTCTGCTTCATTTTTCAAACATCTTGGATATATGACACTAGAGCAAAAAAAAGTAAAAATATCTATAACTAATTGAACTTTTCCTAACTTAACTTATAATTAATCATGTTATATGGAAAATTCTCTTACCTGTTAAACGGTTGATTGAAATAAAAATTCTGATACGGCAGCAGCCGTTTTTTTCTCTCAGACGAAGATAGTGTTAGATTGAGGTCTGTTAGAAGTAATGAACTGCTGTTTGCTTCATATGTTGGTGCGAAAGTTGTCAGTGTGGATGTGATCAAATCGGGTTTATCGTGGTGGATAGTCGTGATGCCGGAAACACTAAAAAGGCCTGAAAAAAATTGAGTGTATAACAATTCTGCACAAAGTAGAACGTGTCGATGGAATATAAGTTTGAATATACTGTAGGTAGTACATATTGACCTCAAATGCGGCCTAAGAGGCGATATTGGGAATGCTCAATCCAAATGTAAATTATATTTCTGTAGATTCTACAATACCAATTTATCTAGTTGTTTGCTTGGAATATTAAGTTGACAGAGCGAAAATTGTGTACAAACGATCTAGATTTCAATTTCATATTGATTCATTTTTGGAAAATGTCCGTTTGCTGAAGGAATTTTAAGCAGCACAGCTAATCGATCTGTGAAATTTTATTTATACAAATCTAAGCGTTCCCCACGATTGTATTACTGAATACCAGACATTAAAGAAGGTTTTTTAAATTTTCCCCTTTCAATAGTCACATTACATGAAACTTTGAAAATGTTGTTCATAACGGTCTAAGTTACTTTAATTTTTCATTTTTAAAGGGCAGAAGAGAATAGGAATGATTACAGATTTTGAAATACTGATGTATAATGTAGGTACACATCTGCTATTTGCGAAAAAGACATTGTTTTTGCAATAAATTAAATGTTGGATCAAATTATCACATTTTGATCTTTCTATTTTTGTATAAAGCGCGAAAACGCTCCTATATTTTCCTCTAAAACCATTTATTCTTTGATTCTTTTATATTGCCATCATGCCTATTCTACTCATTGTGTGTTGAACATTTCGAATCTAAACTTATATTTAGACACATTTACATTGTGGGTCGTTATATGAATCTTATAGTTTTACTTACAATGTTGACTTAAGGATCATAAACATACAGGGAGGTTTTTTAGTGGGATACCACAGATCCGTTAAGAATTCTATTGAACCAAAATAGCAATACCTTTTACAGGGTGTTAACAATGTGCACTTCAGTCTAAAACTTTTTAACGCAATATAACTTTTGTTTTTAAATAGAAGTACCTGTATATTAATACGTCTTTAGATAGACAATTTACAAAGTTTCAAATTTGCATTTACATTTTAAGCTGTGAAATCAACCGTTTTCAAATTATAATTTATTTTATTTAAAAATTTCAAAAAGTTGCTACATTTTGTAAGGTTACACTTATTTAATGAATTCCATAGCCACCTTACAAAATGTAACCAGTTTTTGAAATTTTTAAATAAAATAAGTTATAATTTGAAAACGGTTGATTTCACAGCTTAACGTGTAAATGCAAATTTGTAACTTTGTAAATTGTCCATTTAATGATGTATTAATATACAGGCACTTCCATTTGAAAAACAAAAGTTATATTTCGTTAAAAAGTTTTAGATTGAAGTCCACATTGTTAACACCCTGTACAATGTATTGATATTTTGATTCAATAGAATTCTTACTGGATCTGTGCTGATTGGAAAAACCTTTTTTTTTGTATATTTAACTGCTTTTTTTGCTTCTACAATGAATTTTTTAGATACTATGTTTTTAAGCAAACTTTTACTAAAATGGCGATAATCTGCCAACGTCGCAAGTACGAAAAAAACAATTTACGGTGCAAATGCAGCGTTTCAAGCTGCATTCCATGAGCTAATGAAAAATGGGTAGTTCTATTTAAAAAAATACAGTTTGATCTCGCTTTTCTGAGACACTCTGTATAATATAAGATATTGTTAAAATGTGCGCTAAATAAAATTAAAAATCATCAACAACATATGAAACTATTTCTCGAAAGTTCAACACCAACGATAATAATCGACTCTCTCGCATTAAAAAACCACCCTGCAGGTAACTTATAGGGCTAAAATTGCTTTTTCCAAGAGAAAATTCGTATGTTCTTTTTTCCAATTATGTTTCATAGGAATATTTAGTAATGCTTTTCGTGAAAACTTTTAAGTTAGAAGCAAAATTTAAAAAAATTGAGAAATCGTAGATGGATACAACGCAATGCTTCAGAAACGTCTCAATATAATAGAAGGTGTTCTTGGTGGAATTGGAGGCGAAAACAGGAGTAATACTCAAATTTTGCTTTCATGTGAACATTATCAATTGTTCTTAATTCAAATTTTACTTCGTGCACGGAGGTTTATAATTCTCTATCCAGTGGTAAGACCAGCGGCTCTTAAAGACAAATGGTTCTTGAAATGTAACCAAAAAGGCAAAAGTTTTAGCTGATGAACTATGATGAATTTTAGCCGTTGAAAACTGTCAACATATTTTCCAGTTGCTGTTTTATTTTGGACATCAACTATTCAATTTTCTATCCAGTGGTGTGAAAATCAGTGCGCCAGCTCAATTTGGTCTTGAAATATGAGCAAAAAGGGGGCGTCATGTTCGAAATGATTATCTGGTCTTGAATCTAAATGTGTAGTATTCAACTTCGATTTTTCTGTGAAAACTGCGATTATCATTATCATTAACTCATGGTTCACCTGGAAAATAGGTCTATCTAGTCGTAGGAAAAGATCGCGCTCTGGCTCGAAGCGACGTCTTGTTTGAGCCAAAATCGCGTATAGTCAAAAATTATGTGGATATTTGGCTTGTAGTGTTAAAATCGTTAATGATTTACAAACGCTGTTTCCTTTCAGTGACTTGCTAAAGATTATGTTTTCAGTTGTTTATGTTGTTGATTATGTTTCAGTCCTAAATGTGATTGGCGAAGAAAATTTCCCATATTTTCCCTGTGTTTACACGATAATCGAGTTATTTAATTTTTAGTTATCTATTCATAAAAGGGTCAATTTGGTTTGAAATCCAACTGGCAACTTTGTCAAATTTTTATAAAAGTTCAACTTTTTCTTCTCTAGAACTCAATGACGCTTGCGTTCTATAACTTTGTAGCGGCCGAAAAAACTTTATATAATTACCACTTGCTACAGATTTTCAGGCTTTGGGCTTAATAAACTTAGGAGTACAATGGAGGTGGCGGCGGCTTGATTTATAGTTTATGTCATCAACATTAAAAGAGTAAAAACTTCCGAAACCTCGTAACATCAGTTAAAATAAATGACAATGCGGATCAAGGTTGCGCATTCTCGTTAAAATCATTGCACTGATATTTAATCAACTACAACTTGTTTCAATCAAATAAACCAGAATCCTAATTCTGCAAATTGCTTGACTTTGATCTACCTTTACATCGCATTCTACAAGTACATGTTTTATGATTATTCTATTAAATGTCATTATCAGTTAGGTACAAATATGCGTTACAATAATTGTTGACGATTTATGATTGGATGAAGATTATTTAATCTATCAAGGATTCTACATACGTTCGTTTACACTTAGCTACAAAATTTTAATTATTAAAGCATTTTGATGATGGTTGATTCTGTTACGAAGATTTTCCTCGACTAAAACGATCTGAAAATGAATAAATACACTTTCTTGATTAGAAATTTCGAATTGCTTGGAGATTCAGCACACTTTACTTTCCACTATTCCAGTGAAAAATCGACCCCATGTGACTGATAGTTAATATAAACACCGGAAAATCGTCTTTATTTACTTTATTACGTCATGGCCCGGTTTAAAATATTTCCATTTTGATATTTAGCGGTGCAGATAGTAATGAAAGCAGTTAAACTAAGATTAATTTATTTAAATATTACCGTAATTCATGTAATCTAACGCACCAGAATCAATGAGATTTATTCAATAAGCCATGATTACGTATTTTCCTTCAACAATTAATAATTATCTTAAGCCAAAGTCCGTGAAGAACCAGTTAGTGGGTGCGAAGCAGTAAGCGAAATTATATGCATTTAGATGTGAGATTTATACTATTTTGTGGGAGACTTTCATTTTGCTATTGGTTCCCTAGTCACGACCAGCACTTGCAACCAGTGTTTTACTTGTACCTGCCGTACCACTTTCCTTCCTGTATTTTTTCCGATATTAAGGCATGGTTATAATTCATCTAAGTTCATTCTTCGGCTCGTTTTAGAAGGAAAACTTAAATGGGATTTTGTATTTTTATACAATATTTATTTAATGTTAAGGTAGCGTTAATTTGATTAGTTTTTATTAGTAAAATTGGATTTTTAGAACTTTTTAACATCTACAGAGTGGCACATTATGTTTAAGAGCATACAACTCTTTATATCTCAAAATTGTCCAGAAAATTCGTTGTTTTAGCCATCAAATTTGCGTGACCACCAAACCTTACAAAGAAGTGAAATATTTTCATCTTAATTTGTAATAATTATGTCAATTTCTATACTTCAATGTCTGAATATATTAAATAATATAACTAACGTTGTGGGAAATCATTGGACAAATCAGGAAGTTATTGCATATCGAGCAATAATAAATTATTTATGAATTTTATTGCGTTAGATGTAAATCACCCAGTTGATTTTTATTATGAGTTTCCTCTCATACGAATATATCGTTTTCTACACGAAAAATATGGAGCATTTATTTTCCATTGCCGGATGAATATATTGCCGGCTAGAAATCGGTCTGCACGACATATAATTATATTGATACGTACGAGATACTTTGGAAATTGTTGCTGTTTTATGTAATAATAGTTATTACTGAATATATTCAGGGCCAGTGGCCAATATAAGGATGTAGTGCATATGGGGATCTCCGTAATCGTAAGAGATACGAAGTCGGTTAAATTAGGGAAAAGTTGCGCAATCAGGGGGCCATGCACATGGCCTTTTCAGAAAACTGGAATTTCTTTTAATATTTGAGATATTTAGAAAAATGTGATTTTTCGGATTTTCGTTTTTTCTCATTTTTGAACTTATTTCGAATAATTGCTGAAAAAATTGCTGGTTTCAACAAGTCGGAACTCCTGCACACAATGCCAAACAAGTTCGAGACTAACGGATTCCAGGAAGATCGATCGAAACCAAGGACCCGGACCGAAATAAGTGTTCCGTTCCGGTTTCGGCCCGGTCGGTCTTAAAATTTCGGTTCCGTTGCGGTTCCGGTTTCGAAAATAATTTCCAATTCGGTTCCGTTCCGGTTCCGATTTTTTTTCGGTTCATTTC